TGGATAGTGATTTCTTCTAAGTCGTTTCATAAATAGCGATCAGTTTCTGGAAGAGTAGTTATAATTATTGGTTAGGTTAGGTTAGGTTAGGCTAAAAAAATCTTCAACTTTTTGTTATTACCACTAATTGAAGCGTATTGTGACAAGATTGTCGTAAATCTGTTCAACATTGAATTCACACAGCAGTCAGTTGACCCAATAAATCCCAAACAAGATTATGACCACCTTGACCAAAGACAGATTGTGATCAATATTCTTTTAACCTCATTGTGATCACGTCAAAGTCAACCTGTAAGCAAGTACATTATAATCAAATTATACACAATTGCTTCATAACCAGTTTATATGATTCTCCCCACTAGAAACAACCTACTACCCTTTTCATTGAATATCGGCTTCGTACAAAGCCGGTAATCGATTCCCATCTCGAACTACATGTCTTGCGAATAGACCACCCAGCTGTAAATTATTAAACAACGATCGTATCATCGGTTACGGTGCACGGTTTTGCACGTTTAAAGGCTACATTGTGGCTGCTCATATTGTAGCCAGTTAACGTCCGACGGAACGAGCGTGTTTCGCAGTCGAGTTGCACTTCGTAGCTTGTGTGGTGTGGTGTGGTGTGTCGGTCGATCCAGTGAACGTAGGAGTCGCATTCCACGCTAAATGCATTAAGAATGCCTAGTGCCGTTCCATTGGCTTCGCGGACACCGTGAACTCACTGTTTATTGCAACCCTGATTGGAATTAGTTTACACGAATGTTTTCATCATGGCGTGTCTTTATTGCTTCTGAGCGTTGAAGTTAAAACTAAGTAGTCGACTAATCACTTTCCAGAAACTCTGTCCTTCCATTTTCTTCCAGAATCTTCATTTAGCATTTTTAATTTTTCTCTCTCATACAATATACACTTATAAGTATCCGCCCATTGATTTATATTTTCGCATTCTAGGGAATTTTATTTTGTAAATTTCATTGGAGGGTATTTTTGAAAAAGTTTGTAAATAAATTGGGTAGGTAAATACTACCTGAATGATAACACACGTCGTAACTAACCTAACCTACCTCTTCGAACACACTTACCCATATATTTGTACGGAATATTATCATAACGTGGTCTATATTCAAATAAAACCAGTCTTTTTATGAAACGCAACGAGATATAGCATTCCACGGATGTTCAAGTCGAACGCGGCGATAACGGTGCACGCAATTTAGCAAAATGAATGAACGGATGATCCGGTGAGCGTTACGAGACGCGATGGCGTTTAAGGACGTAGACTGATATTCGCGCAGGATAGCTGGAATAACCTGTTTAACGAGAAAATAGTGCGGAAAGTCGTTGGTGAGGATCCTCGGAATTAATCGATCAATACATCGTTACCCGACCGGCGAAACTAGTTCACCGTGTAATATTCAATGCTTTACGGGGATGTAGGTGTACGCGATATCGATCTAGGGTATTAATTTATCGACATAGGATAACGTTCACTATGGGGGGCGCTCAAAGTCCTTTCAGATACTGTCATGGTAGGTTAATAGTTAATTCGAGCGTAGGTAAAAGGAGATTTAACAGAGATTGTAATTAATTTGTAGTTATTAGTGTATTAAAGAGGTGTAATTTTAAGGGATTAAGAAACAATTTTGTTGAGAAACAAGTTAGTTGTACAAGTTGTGAGTAATTAAATCACTTTCCGAGGAATCCAGTGAAATCGTGGAGTTTGCATTCTTCTGTGTCCTCTTGTTACAAGATGCTTTATCGCCATGTTTTGGCGAAAATTCTTGGTTTCTTTTGAACATATCAGCGAATATTTTCTATAACAATCTTTTTTTTTTTCACAACGATCATTACATCATAATACAAGTTTCACTTTTTATTGTACACATAAAAACAATTAACCTAACCTAACCTAACCTTCACAAAAAATACCCCTGCTTGGTACTTTCTTTAACAATACCTTTCAAATATCTCTACTCACACACACAATAAACTCAACACAATCGTCAAAGACCATTTCGATAGAGCGTCAACATAACCTCCTCTCGATTCGATCGAACTTACCGAAAAAATAAAAAAAAACGTCGAAAAATAAACAAAAACAAAGAAAACAGAAGAGAAGAGGTCCGAAGAAGGGAAAAAAAGAAGGCATTAGCCGTTTCGCTGGTCGTCAGAGTGTTACTCGAATTGACGTGCCGTAGCCTACAACGAAAAGCAATCGGCCAGGGAACGAGTACCGGTTATTTAACGCCGTCGCTTTTATGCCAACTTATTGGTCGACCCGTCTCGTTGCACGAGTTTTAACTGTGCAACTCCACCTTTTCGCTGGATGTAACAGTACCGTATTCCCGTCGTCTTACTATGCAGCCTGGGGCTCATTCATTATTCATACACCATACGCCGGTATACTCTGGCCGCTTTATAACGTGATCGTATGCAGTTCGACTGGCTGGAAATTCGACGGTCGATCTCTGATGGTCGGGTTAACGGATTATAGCACCGAAACGACTCGATTCTCCACACGCGCTTTATCCGGCAAGGAAGTGATCTGTATCGCTAGCGACTGTAACCGTATTGTAATGATCGAGTTTATTTAGGTTAAGATACGAAGTGGATGTTTAAAAAGTTGTGGAAGCTTGAATTAATTAATTAATTTAAAGGAGTTAGGAAATTCGGTGTAGAGTTTTCTTAGCTGAAATTATTTTAAGGTTATGTTGATATTTGATAGTTTAGCTATATTCCGTAATTGTGCCTAGTAATGACGCGTCATCTCTCTATCAATCTCACTCTGATGACACATTAGGTAGTAAAAATGATAAACGAGAGAACGGCATGGCTGACGCCTGCTTCGAGAGCCATTATGTAGATCGGGAATATGTTATTATCGGACGATCACGTCGATCGTTACACATGTGATACGCGCACGTTACGGTTGGAAATTACGCGACAGGAAGTGGTGTATTTGCCCTGGCGTGTAACGCGCATCGAGCAAACATTTGTTTACTCACCGCAGGCTAATTGTCGGGGCCGTGTGATGATTGATTCTAACGCGTGGTTTACATCGTTACACGACGTGTTCGAAAGGTGGACGCTTGTCTGCTACCACGTTGGTAATTAGGTGGAATGTAATGGTTCGATGCTCGCGCTAAGAGTAATGGATAACTTCCGTATGCAAATGAGAATAATTCTCGAAGAATAACATGTTGCATTTTTGTTCCAATCATGCAGAATCTCTTGTTGGAAAAATTTCCTGCTTATCAGGGTATTCCTACTTTATTCGAATTTCTCATCATTGGTTATTTTAATATTTCGCGCCATTTAATGTTGGAATATCGAATAGAACAGGTTATGGAATTACGAAATATAGGTATATTACTGACCGATCCGGGAGTGAACGACCTGATTCATCAGAGGGCAATTTCGCGTATATCTTTGCAATCCCATCTTATTATAAACTGTGTTCTATACGAACGAGCCAGTTTCCTCTTCCAGGATACCTTTTATTTTTACCTTGATCCATGTTTACTTATCATTGATGGACTTTTCTTTCTTTTTTTTCTGTCACTCGCGCGTAAATATGTACATATGTTCTACATCTTTTGGATTCCACGGGATGACAGTCGACCAGAAAGAAACGATTTTCATTTCCCAACGGCCTTGATAGACCGGCACAAGTGATCAGACGGCATTCCAGCAATCGCGAGAACGTCGCGAGCATGCGCGATTAAGTGTAATAACGTGTGGCCGAGGGTGCAAGCGTTTGTTGGCCCACGAGCGTTGCTTCAGGCCCTGATCGTCGTTTATAACGCTCGATCGAACGTGTCGAAGAAATCAATGAAGTCATAAGTCTATGTCGAAACCTGGCTACAACTCCATTGTGGCGAAGCTGGGCTATTATACAATAAATTACTGTGTATTTTCAATTAAATGCAAATAAATGAACTTTTTCTTCTATACAATGTCTATTTAATTGCTACTTTAAGGTTAACTAGCGATTACGGTCTCTAAGACAGTAATTGGTATATTGTTCTAACGTTCTCAAAGATAATTGTTTGAATAGGTTAATGCTACGAAGCTAGTTCCTTATTTTAAGTGCATGATCAATAGTATTGATCAGTTTAATTTGACAATAATATTTTCAATATATAGCACTGCCCAACTGTCATGTATCTTTATTTTAAAAACATTTATCCAACTTGTTAGCGACGAGTATAATGATGTATTAAAAATAAATATTTTTTAAATATTTTTCAATTTTTATTTTTTACTGCTTATGAAATTATTTAGTATTAGTTTTATCGGGAAATAGTAGTATTATGCACAAGAATGATAAAAATTTATTATACTATATCTAATTATGGGTTAATGTGGCAAGTATAGGTTATACTGCTTGTTCAAAGTGATTGGACTCACTCGATACAATATATATGTATGTTATTTAAAAGTTTCTGACAACTGTATGAATATTTTGCCAAGCACAAGTGAATCTCGCTCATCCGGCTTCTTATTTTCAATAAGCCCATTATGATAATACGTCGCAGCCAAGGCCGTCTAGCTGTTGTTACTTTTCACATGACGCAACGCGACTGCATGCCCGTTTTATCATTGCAAGATGCTCGTGTACACAGGCGCCTATTAAGGCCCACTGTTTACGCAACATACACGATGCCAATAGCCGGCGTGTGCATTCCGCTCTTTTACTTCGCTCGTGCTCGTACGTGCACACACGTGCACGCTGGAATGCGAATATCATTGTGCCAGAAGTCCACCGATCCCTTCTCATAAATTCTGCGAGTGCATTATGCGGTTGCGTTCACCTGATCCAATGACTGGGAATTGGAGGTTTTCGTGAAATCTAGAAAGGGGAATCTGACGTTCAAATAATCAGACATTAAATAATTTATTGCTTGAAGTTAATTTACAAGTAAAAGAGTAGGAAGAATTGTAGGAATAGTTCAGGTGAATAGTGAAATTATATTCTATGGTTTTATTATGGTTTGTAGGTACGTTTGGAGAGTATAGGAGCAGAGGACATAGTGGATGGGAATCCAAGATTGATCCTGGGTTTGATATGGACAATCATTTTGAGATTTCAAATTCAGGAGATTGAGATTGATGTGGATGAAGAAAATGATAGCAGTGAAAAGAAATCAGCCAAAGATGCTTTGTTGCTCTGGTGTCAGAGAAAGACCAATGGGTATCCTGGTGTTAATATCCAAGACTTTACTGGTAAATGAAATATTTTTAATTGAATCAATTAAATCAACGTTTCTTTATAAATTGTTTAATGCGTGAATTTATCTGATTAAAGGATCCTGGAGAAGCGGTCTTGGATTCAATGCCCTCATCCATGCTCACAGACCAGACCTAGTCAACTGGTCAGAACTGCAACAGAACAAAAACATTGACAACCTTAACTATGCCTTTGACGTGGCTAATTCAGAGCTTGGTATTCCAAGATTATTGGACGCGGAGGACGTTGACACTGCACGGCCTGACGAGAAATCCATCATCACTTATGTCGCTTCTTACTACCATACCTTCGCCAGGATAATTATTAAAAAATATAAAAATTTAATTTTAATTTTCACAGATTGTTGGCCAAATGATGGATGCAGACAAGATGAAGGTCCATTATGAGAAACTTACAACAGACCTATTAGAATGGATTAAGATGAAGATAGGAGTTTTAGAAAACAGAAACTTTCCTAATTCTTTAGAGGGTATTCAAAAAGAGCTGTTAGCTTTCAAACAGTACAGAACAGTGGAGAAGCCACCTAAGTACAAAGAACGATCAGAAATAGAAGCTTTGTATTTTCACATAAACACCCAATTAAAATCCTTGAATCAACCTGCATTCACACCTCAAGAGGGTCAATTGGTACATGATATTGAAAGAAATTGGGTGGAATTGGAACGAGCAGAGCATCATCGAGAAGTCGCCCTTAGGACTGAACTCTTGAGGCAAGAAAGGCTAGAACAGTTGAACTATAAATTCGAAAGGAAGAGTGTATTAAGAGAAGGTTATCTGAAAGAAATGATTCAGGTCTTAACAGATCCTAGATATGGTAGTAATTTAGCTCAAGTAGATGCCACAGTGAAGAAGCATGAAGCCATCAGTGCAGACATTCTAGCTCGTGAAGAACGTTTCCATGATTTAACCAATATGTCAGAGGAGCTAGTAAGAGAAAATTATCATGGTTTTGAAAGAGTGAGAATGAGAGAACAGGAAGTGCTTCAGAGGTGGAAAGAGCTCCTAGCACTCCTAGATCATCACAAGTCCAATTTAGTTGCCTTGAGTTCCCTCATGAGTCTGATGAGAGAGATTGACACCACTTTGGCCTCCATTCAAGAGCTGCAATTGAACTTCCAAAGCACAGATGTTGGTCCACATCTGTTGGGAGTTGAAGATCTATTACAAAAGCATAGTTTGCAAGAATTACAAGTGACAGCTCTTGGAGAGACCCAGAGGAGACTGGGTAGGCAAGCAGCTCAGCACTTGGCACAACCTCAGAATAAAGAGGTACCTCTATTACAACAAAAATTGGAGATGTTAAACAGCGCTTATGATGATCTAGTGGAATATAGTAAAGAGCGTAAAGCTCGTCTGGAAGACGCCAGGAATTTCTTCCACTTCATTCAAGATCATGAAGATGAGGAATCCTGGCTGATAGAGAAGCAACGCATTTGCAAGGCAGGAATATCAGCCAAGGACCTTCGTGCAGTGATCTCGTTGCAGCAGAAGCACAAGGCCCTTCAGGATGAGATGAAGGTGCGGAGACCAAAGTCTGAACAACTTTGCGACGCTGGAAGAAAGCTGATAGCTGACAACCATCCTTCAGCTATGGAAATTCAAAATCGTATTGACTCGCTGCAAGAGCACTGGAAGGTGCTAGAGGAGCTGGCTGCTCTCAGGAAGAAACAGTTAGATGACGCAGCAGAAGCCTTTCAATTCTACGCGGATGCCAACGAGGCGGATTCATGGATGAACGAGAAGATGGCTCTTGTAGCCTCTGAGGACTATGGCGTTGACGAACCCAGCGCTCAAGCATTGTTACAGAGGCATAAGGATCTTGAGGGAGAGCTGAACGCTTATAAGGGTGATGTGCAGTCATTGAACATGCAAGCTGAGATGCTTATCAAATCTGGAATTTCTACCTTAGAGTTGTCTGCTGATCCTGAGCCTGTTGCTGAACTGGAGCAGGAGGAATGGAGTAAGAAATTAATATTTATTTTAATTTTGCTTATTTAAGAAAAATTTAAAAAAATATTTTATTTCTGCTTTTTTCCAGTTAAAGAAATGAGGCTAGTTCCTCAAGATGTGTGGGTAGATGAAGTTGTAGAGAAATGGGAACCCAAGAAGGTCCTTGAAGACAGGATGGTGCCTCAAGTGAAGAGTTTGTATCCATACAGTGGCCGTGGTATGCAGATGTACAGGGGTGAGGTTATGTTTCTGTTGCACAAGACAAATCCTGACTGGTGGTGTGTCAGAAAAGCAGACGGCACTGATGGTTTCGTGCCAGCGAATTACGTTCGCGACATCGATCCCAAAGTAATACAGGTACAGGTTAATAAACGACAGAAAGTCAAAGTAACGCGGAGAGTGAAGAAAACGAAGATGGTGAAACAACTGGTTCCTGTAAGAAGAGTGAAGTCCATTAAATCAACAGTGAAACCGATTAAAAGAAAAACTGCTTCTGATGGAGATAGCGTAGAGAAACGATTGAAGAAGATCAATGACACTTATAGTGAGCTTCAGGAGTTGGCAGTGAAGAGACACGCATTGCTAGAAGACGCCATAAGATTATATGGTTTCTACCGTGAATGTGATGACTTTGAAAAATGGATTAAAGACAAAGAGAAGATGTTGAGAGCTGATGATCCAAGGGACAATGTTGAGACAGCTAGGAAGAAATATGAGAAATTCCTCACGGATCTCTCAGCCTCAGGAAAACGAGTAGAAGCCATAGATGCTGCGGTTGAAGAATTCGTTAGACAAGGACACAGTCAGTTTGACAAGATCCAAGCTAGACAGTGGCACATCCATCAACTTTGGGAACATTTGAACTGGTTGAAGCTACAAAAGGAGAAAAGTTTAGAAGGAGCTTCCAGTGTGGAGTTGTTTAACAGAACTTGCGACGAAGCTCATGATTGGATGTTGGAGAAAATTACTCAACTGGACACTGCAGAACTTGGACCAGATTTGAAGACAGTCCAAGCTTTACAGAGGAGACATCAACATCTGGAGAGAGAGTTGGCACCTGTTGAAGAGAAAGTACGAAAGGTAAATCTATTAGCAAACAGCGTGAAGAGTTCATATCCTCATGAATTAGATAATGTCAACGCTAGGCAAATTGAAATCAAAGAACTCTGGAACAAAGTTCAGACAAAGGCCAAGGAACGCAGGTCTAGATTAGAAGATGCAGTTGGCCAACAAATTTTCATGAACAGTTCCAAGAATTTAATTAATTGGGCTGCAGATGTACAAGAGACTATAAAGGCTGAAGAGCCTGTCAGAGATGTAGCCACAGCTGAACAGCTCAGGAAGCAACATATGGAGCTTGGAGAAGACATAAGAACACGAGAAGACGAGTTCAGGGAGGTTGAGGAACTTGGAAATCAGTTACTCGGTCGAAATCCATCTCTGGCGGATGTTGGTGAACGTTTAGACAAATTGCGTGGTTTGTACCAGGCTGTAACGACAGACTGGACGGCGAAGGAAGCTTGGTTGCAACAGTGTTTGGAATTGCAGCAGTTTAACCGTGAAGCAGATCAAATTGAAGCCACTACTAGCTCTCATGAAGCTTTCCTGGAATTCACCGACTTGGGAGAGTCTCTGGATGATGTTGAGGCTTTGTTGAAACAACATGAAAAGTTTGAGAACACTCTTCATGCTCAAGATGACAGATTAAAGGCGTTCAGCGAAACTGCGGATAAATTGATCGCTCACAATCATTATGATAAGGACTACATTAATGAAAGACGAAATCAAGTTCTTGCACGAAGAAATCAGGTTAAAGACGCTGCACAGCGTCGAAGATCAGCTCTGAAGGCTTCAGAACATTATCAACAATTTTCAGCAGAGGTAGACGATTTACGGGATTGGTTGGGTGACAAAATGAAAACAGCGTCTGACGAAAGCTATCGAGATTTAAATAACCTCGAAAGAAAACTTCAGAAACATGAAGCATTTGAAAGAGAATTGAGGGCTAATGAAGGACAATTAAGAGCAGTGAACAAAGCAGGGAAAGCTTTGATATCTGAAGAGAACTATAGGTCGGATGATGTTGGTAGAACGTTGAAAGAGTTGAATGATCAATGGGACAGATTAGTGGCTCTGTCTTTGGAAAAAGGTCGCAGATTGAGACAGGCTGCTAGTCAACATGGTTATAATAGAATTATGGAGGATGCTAGATTAAAATTAGAAGAAATAGAAAATTGTTTGCAAAGTAAGCAAGTAGGGGTGGATCTGAGAAATTGCAAGGAGTTGTTGAAGAAGCACCAGTCGCTTGAGAGTGATATGTCTCAGTGGGAGCAGAAAGTGGATGATCTAGTTGCCATGGGTGAAGAGATGGCTCATGAGGGACACTTTGATGCCGCGAATATATTGAAAACTAGCCAAGCTACGCAAAGAAAGTGTGTAATATTCATATATGTTCCATAAACGGTACCAAAAATAGTATTCAAAATTAATTTATTAATTTTCTTTCTTGCATAGGTTCCGTAGCTTGAAAGAACCAGCTAAGAGAAGACGAGAAGCTTTAGAAGAAAGTTTGCGTTTTCACAAATTTGGATTTGAATTGGATGCTGAGCTACAATGGATAAAAGATCACCTTCCTCAGGCATGTTCAACAACACTTGGACAAAATCTGCATCAGGCTCAGACGTTGCATAAGAAGCACAAGAAATTGGAGGCTGAAATCGCTGGTCATCAACCGATGATAGACAAAACTTTAGCCTCTGGACAAACTCTAATTGATCAAGCACATCCAGAGAAGAAGAAGGTAATAGTACATGTAATAGAAATACGATTTAAAAATGTTTTTAGGGAAAAATAGATTTGTACATATTGCCTGTTCTAGTTTTTAGATATATACTTGGTGTAAGTTGAAGTAAAAGTTTGTCATTTTTGCACAGTTGGAACTATTACAAGAATATCAGGTCTGCGGAGGTAAGGTCGGCACAGATGCATGCATAGTGTTGTTTAAAAAAGAAATTCTAAAAGTTTCTTCCAAACAGCAAACTAAAAAGAGAAAGAAAAGACATGAAATTTTTTACAGCATGCATGTGCTTGTCTTACATGATTTATTCCTGGATTAAAATGTATTTTTTACCATACTGTGTTTTCTGTAGATTACTTCATAATTATACATATTAACAAGGTTTCATTGTTTTCATCTAGTGTTTACAATTTTGATTTTTTGTGTATCTTAATTCCTTTTCATGTAATTAAATTATATTGATAAATTCTAATTCTGTATAGATACAAGAACTGTGTGACGCGCTAGACGATGCATGGAGAGACCTGCAAGAAAAGGCTGGAGAACGAAACAAGGCTCTGGACTTGTCCCTAAAAGCGCAAGAATTCTACTTCGAGGCAGGAGAAGTTGAAAGTTGGTTAAACGAGAAGAACGACGTCCTCAGTTCCACTGATTATGGCAGAGACCGTGACGCTGCTACGAAATTATTAACAAAACACAAAGTACATTTACTTTCACATCATTAATTTATAAAAAAAAAATATTTTCAACCATTCTATTTAATAATTAATATTGCAGGCTGTCGAGTTAGAATTAGACACGTATAATGGCATTGTAACAGAGATGGGTCACACTGCTGCTTCAATGATCAACGCAAAACATCCTGACAGCAAAGCAATAGCGAACAAGCAACAAGCAATCGCTCAGCAGATGCGTGCATTGCAAAGATTAGCTACAGTGAGGCAACAACGTCTAATGGAGAGCATGTACCGACATGAATACTTCTTAGAAAGCAGAGAATTAGAGCAATGGATCAAGGAACAAGAGCAATCAGCTGCTTCTGAAGACTATGGCCAAGACTATGAACACTTGCTAATATTGCAAGCTAAATTCAATGATTTTAAGCATAGAATAGAGGCTGGGTCTGAAAGATTCAATCAGTGTGAAGAATTAGCTCGAAAATTAATCGCTAATGAGAGTCCTTATATTCAGGATATTGAAAAGCGACAAGAACAATTAGGGTAAGATTTATTTGAAGTATAATTTAATTTTGTAAATAATGTGGACTTAGAATATCAAGATAAAACACTCAAGGTCTTTGATTTCACTAAATGCATGTCCACTGTTTTGTATTTAGTAATAGTGGTAGCACTACTTCTGGTGATGAATTGTTAATCTAATTATAGTTAATATTATGGCAAGGGATTAGTAAGATTATGTAAGGGATAATACAATTGGTCCTGAATATATTGGTGTCGGGTTACTAACAGTATTTTTGTACATATATTTAACGCAGACTAGACGACGATGATCCTGTAAGCCAAGTGCAGAGACAGCATGCTGCCATGGAGTAAGTAGACATTGGTAAAAGTAGATATTTGGTTGTATTGTGCACTGTGTAAATAGTAGCATGTTTTATAAACACTCTAAAAAAAAGATTAATATATAAGAGTATCATGTTAACTATAAAATCATGAATATTCTTTGTCATCTACTAGGGAATCCTGGCAACATCTTCTTGGTCTGATTCGAAATCGTGAGCAAAGGTTGCAAGCTGCTGGAGAAATTCACAGATTCCACAGAGACGTGGCTGAAGCATTATCCCGCATACAGGAAAAGGAAGCAGCCTTACCAGAGGACCTTGGACGTGATCTGAACTCTGTATTGGCACTGATCAGACGCCATGAAGGCTTTGAGAACGATCTAGTCGCTTTGGAGGCACAGCTACAGGTTTTAGTTGAAGATGCATCCAGATTGCAAGCACACTATCCAGGAAATAATGCAGTACACATTGATCAACAACAGCAAATTGTCGTTGCTCACTGGGAAGAGCTGAAAGAGAGGTCTGCTCATAGGAGGGACCAATTGCAGGCTAGCTGTGATCTGCAAAGATTTTTAACTCAGGTATTATTCACTATAAAATAAATTTAAGATTATGAAGGTTTAGAGAAGTAATAAATAAGGAAATATATGTGTAGGTCAGAGATTTGATGAATTGGGCGGCTGGACTTCGCGCCGCGATGTCCACAGAGGACAAAGTGAGGGATGCAGCCAGTGCACAGATCCTGAAGGCAGAGCATGAAGCTCTGAAGGGAGAAATCGAGGCAAGAGAAGATAGTTTTAGTTCTGTTCTTGACTTGGGTGAAGCTATGGTCCAAACTGGTCACTATGCTGCCTTGGTAAGTTTAATACTTATATTTTTATTCAACAATCATTTGGATATTTCCATTAAATGAAAGTTGTCACGTGTCACAGGAGGTAGAAGAGAAATGCAATCAATTACTCGATGAAAGACAGAAATTACACACTGCCTGGCAACAGAAGAAGATCCATCTGGACCAACTGATAGATTTGCACTTTTTCTTGAGAGATGCTAAACAACTGGACAATCTATCAACCACCCAGGAGGCTGCATTGAGCGGTGACAACTTTGGAGACTCTGTTGAGGAGGTTGACGCTCAAGTGAAGAAACACAACGAATTTGAAAAACTACTGGTAACGCAAGAAGAGAAATTGACTGCTCTACAAGAACACGGAGACAAGCTTCTGGCTCAGAATCACTTCGACTCACCCACAATTGCGAGAAGATTGAGCGAAGTTGTGCAAAGGAGAGCCAGAATTAGGAATTTGTGCGATGTACGACGAATAAGATTGGAAGCTGGGTTGTTACATGCACAGTTCGTCAGAGATGTTGCAGAAGCAGAGTCCTGGATCGGTGAAAAGCAAAAGAAGCTCGAAGCAGAGGCGTCTAAAGGTGAAGTATCCAGTTTGGAGGACAAGATCAAGAAACTACAGAAACATCAAGCGTTCCAAGCTGAATTGGCGGCTAACCAGAGCAGAATCGAGGAGATCAAGGCCAAAGGAGAGACTCTTCTTCAACAGAGGCACCCAGCAAGCGCTGAGATTCGACAACAATTAGAACATCTTCATGCTTCTTGGAGAAAATTGCTATTAGAATCTGGAAACCGTGGTAGAGGACTGGAAGAAGCTCAAGATATCCTAGAATTTAACAACCAAGTGGAGAAAATTGAAGCTTGGATAAGAGATAAGGAAATGATGGTCCAGGCTGGAGACACTGGAAAGGATTACGAGCATTGTTTGAGTCTTCAGAGGAAGCTCGATGACGTAGATAGTGACATGAGAGTAGACGACTCGAGGATAAAGACTATTAATTCACTAGCTGATAAATTGATCAAACAAGGCAGAGATAACGAGTCCAAAGCTATTCAGCAGCGTCGTGACAATTTTAACAATAAATGGAAAGGTTTGCAGGGAGCACTGAGTGCTTATAGAGAAACTCTGGCTGGAGCATTGGAAATTCACCTATTTAACAGAGATATTGATGACACCAATCAGAGAGTCATAGAAAAGGCAGTTGCCATGAACACTACTGACGTTGGAAAGGATCTACCTGCTGTTGAACACTTGCAGAGGAAGCAGGAGGCAATGGAGAGAGACATGACTGCTATTGAGGGAAAATTGAAAGAACACAGAGCTGAAGCCAGAGATTTATCCTTAAAATATCCAGACAAGGCTCCACAAATAAATGGAATATTATCAGAACTACAGTCTAATTGGGATGACTTACAGAGACTTACTCAGCATCGTCGCGAAGCATTGAATCAAGCTTACACTCTGCACAAATTCCAAGCCGATTTACATGAGCTAGAACTTTGGGTAGCTGATACGATTAAACGTATGGATGAGTCTGATCCTCCAACGACCATATCTGAAGCTGCAGCTCTTTTGGAACTTCATCAAGAGAGGAAAGCAGAGATTGATGGCAGACAGGACACGTTCAAAGCTTTGAAAGAGTATGGACAGAAGCTTCTGACTATTAACGAGGATGTTAAGGATAATTTGGAACATTTGGAAGGGCTCAGACAAGGATTGGGAAATGCTTGGGAAAGCAGAAGGCAAAAGTTGACCCAAGCATATCAATTGCAGTTATTCAAGGAGCAAGCTGACCAGGCTGACAGTTGGTTAGCTACTAAAGAAGCATTCCTCAATAATGATGATCTTGGTGACTCTTTATCTGGTGTTGAAGCACTTTTGCGCAAGCATGAAGAGTTTGAAAAGATGTTGGTCTCTCAGTTGGGACGTATCGAAGAGTTAGAGAAATTTGCAAATGATATCTTGGCTGAAAAACACTCTGATGCCAATGTTATTAAGCAGAGATTAACGTCAGTCTGTACTAGAAGAGATAAATTGCAAAACAGTGCAACAGCAAGGAGGAAGAAGCTGTTGGAGAGTCATCATTTTCATCAGTTCCTTAGAAATATTTATGAAGTTGAAGGGTGGTTACATCAAAAGCAACAGGTGGCCAGTGACGAAAATTACAGGGACTCATCGAATTTGCAGAGCAAAATTCAGAAGCATACTGCCTTTGAGAGTGAATTGATGGCGAATAAAGGAAGAGTAGCAGCAGTGATCAATGAAGGTAGGGCAAAAATGTGTAAAAGTATTTTGAATCTCTCTGTATTACTAAATCTTTTAATGCAATGATTTTTTTATTAGGAGAGGCACTGATTGAAGAGAATCACTTTGCCTCAAACACCATCCAAGAACGTTTGGATGAATTGGATGCAGAATGGCGTCTGCTCCAAGAAACCAGTGAATTAAAAAAGAACAGATTAAACGATGCCTATCAAGCTTTACTCTTTGGACGTACTTTAGACGAATTCGAGGCATGGATGGACGAAGTGGAAACTCAATTACAATCAGAGGATCATGGAAAAGACCTGTCCAGTGTAGCCAACTTACTGAAGAGGCACACGAACTTGGAGAACGACGTTTTAGGTCACAACGAGGCTTGTGAATCCATCAAAGAGACCGCGACCAGTTTCCAAAAGTCCAATCACTTCATGTGTGATGAAATACAGGAAAGGGCGATAGTTACAATAAACAGATACCACAGTCTACAAGAACCGATGCAGATAAGAAGGGACAACTTGGAGGATGCAAAATTACTGCATCAGTTTGCAAGGGATGTTGAAGATGAGATGCACTGTTTGTCTGAAAAAGAACCACTTGCTGCAAGTAATGATTTAGGAAGTTCTTTGTCTACTGTGCAGCGACTACAGAAGAAACATCAGGCTTTAGAAGCAGAATTAATATCGAGGGAACCTGTAGTGTCTTCTTTGGTCAGCAGAGCCACAGTTATGGTGAGAAGTGGGCATTTTGCTTCAGAGAAAATTGAAAAATTGTCACAGGAACTGCAAGACAAGCTGTCACACCTTAGGGATTTAGCTAGTGTTAGGAAACTGCGTTTGCTTGATGCTGTTGAGTCACAGATGGTAAAATACATCAGTTGATTAATTTTTATGAACTAATTCAATTTATCAGATTGGTGTTTCTAATGATGTCATTCTTTTAGTTCTATGCTGAAGCATCAGAAGCTGAGCAATGGATAAAAGAGAAACACCCGCAGTTAACTGCCACAGACTATGGAAAGGATGAAGATTCTGTTCAGTCACTTTTGAAGAAATTGGAAGAGATAGAACGAGACTTGCTTGGTTTCGAGAACACCATAGGAAACTTGAGGAAACTTTCACGTGGACTGATTGAGAGACACCATTTCGACAGCAAGAACATTACTCAGAAGCAAACAGAAATTGAACAGAAATTCAAAGAATTGCAGAAATTGAAGGATTATCGATTGCAGCGACTACGTGAAAGCGAGAAGTTCTTTAAGTTCATTAGACAGGCGGATGAGGTTATTGAATGGATTGGAGATCAAACAACAGTAAGTTGTACAAAAACCGTACATCAAAATTACAAATTACTAAACCTACTAAAAATTAATTTGCTCCAGGTTGCTGCCTCAGAGGATTATGGCCGTGATGTGGAACACGTTGAGCTCCTCATTCAGATATTCGACAACTTTTTAGCTGGTTTAGCAACTAGTGAAGGTCGAGTGTCAGGAGTTCTAGACGATGGACAAAAATTGATAGAGGAAAACAATCCAGAAAAGGCTAAGATACTGATGAAACTCGAGGAAACGAAACAACAATGGGAGGATTTGAAGGAATTGGCACATGCACGACAAGATGCACTAGCTGGTGCGAAACAGGTGCACATGTTTGACAGAACTGCGGATGAAACTATTTCCTGGATTCAAGAAAAGGAGACTGCACTCAGTTCTGATGGCTATGGTCATGATCTGGAGACAATACAAGCTTTAGTGAGGAAGCACCAAGGATTTGAAACAGATTTGGGTGCAGTGAAGGAACAGGTATCTAATTGATATTTGAAATTAGACAGTAATGATTTATCATGTGTATTAACCACATCAATTGTATTGTTAGGTTGAACTGCTGATGGAGGAGGCCTCTAGACTAATTGAACTATTCCCAGATGCTCGCATACATATAGACGTGAAACACCAAGAGGCTGAAACTGCTTGGAACGAATTATTAGAGAAAGCTGCTCAAAGAAGAAGCAAATTGGCACAGGCTGAACAACTCCAAGCGTACTTAGGCGACTACAGAGACTTGATGTCCTGGATAAACGAGATGGTGGCCAAGGTAACGGCCCCTGATCTAGCTCGAGATGTGCCAGGAGCTGAAGCGCTGATATTTAGACACAACGAATATAAAGCAGAGATTGATACGCGCAATGAGGCCTTCGATAAGTTCTATAAAACTGGCCAAGAACTGATAGAGCAGGGTCACTTCTTGGCAAAGGAGATTGAGGAGAAGATATCCGTTTTACAGCACAGACAACAATTTTTAAAGGACACTTGGGAACAAAGGAGGTGTATTTATGAGCAGAATTTGGATACCCAGTTATTCAAACGAGAAGCAGAGACTTTAGAGAGCTGGATAGTCAGCAGAGAGCCTATGCTGCACGATGGAAAATTTGGAGAAAGTATATCACAAGTAGAGGAACTGATAAGAAAGCACGAGGACTTTGAGAAAACCATAGAAGCTCAAGAAGACAGGTTCAATGCTCTTAGAAGGATAACTATGCTAGAAGAGGCGTTCGAGAAGCAACAGGAGGCAGAAATGGCCGCCAGACAGGCAGAGAAAGAAAGAATAGAACGTGCTCGCTTAGAAGAACGAAAACGTAAGGAGGTGCAGAGGATAACAGAGGAAAGGAAACGCGAGGAGGAACGAAGACGATTATTGGATAGTCCTCATCGTTCGGTGCATGATGAAGTCAATGGAACCACTGATGAGCATGAGTCTATCAATAAATTACCTCCTCTGAAGGCTGCTACCACATCTGAAAGTCTAGAGTCTACCTCAATACAGAAACCACATGGTTTATCCCATGTGTTTGGTGAGAAATTGAGAAGAACGACTCCTTACATCAAGAGAGCAGAAAGTATGAAAGTTGACACGAAGAAACCGAAGAGGACACCTAGTTTTACCACCAGAAGGAGGACTCAGAGCTTCAGGAAGCTTCAGAGGATGGAGAACATGGATGCACTGCCTCCTGTAGAGATTCAGGGATTGTTAGAGAGGAAACATGAACTTCAGAGTGCTGGCAAAAAGGCTGCTGTGCGTTCATGGAAGCAATATTACACAGTATTGTGTGGACAGCTTCTGTGTTTCTTTAAAGACATGGAGGATTTCTCGTTGAGCAAAGCAGCCACCGCTCCTATCACTATCTTCAATGCCATTTGCGAGAAAGCTGATGATTACACCAAAAAGAAGAACGTGTTCAGGCTGAAATGTACAGATGGGTCAGAATTTTTATTCTTGGCTCCCAGTCAGCAAGAGATGGAAGATTGGGTTAATAAGATATCGTTCCATGCTAAATTACCTCCAAGTTTACAATTGTTAAGCTACGACGAATCGCAAAAGGAAGGTTTAGAGAGACTGCAGAATGTAACTATAGATCATGTTGATGATAATATCTCAACTGGCAGCAGCCATGCCTCTACTCCAGAGTTAGAACGAAAGAATTCTGTGATCAGGCGTGACATGTCCAATCAACATACACCAAGTAGCGTACAGATTGAGTTCCTCCAGATGCACAGGCAGAACCAACAGAAACGTGATCCTCAAAATAATACTGAATTTATGACTTCTCAGAGGACAGAGCCTCCTCAGACGCAGACTGAGTTCTTGCAGATGCATAGACAGCAACAATTGTTGGCACAGCAACAACAGTTGTTACAACATGAACAAATGGCAAGTCAGAGGGAACAGTATCCACCAAATTCAGGAGACAAGCCACCTATTCCTCCTAGAGAAGCACCACCCCCAATTCCTATGAGATCACCCAGTTCAGAAACTATTCCACAATACAGACGTGATGGTACATTGGTTTAACATATATTTTGTCTTTTTGAATAAATTATTTTGAAGAATATGGAACATATACAGTGAAACATACGTGGTGTTTGTATGGTTTTACAGATGCGGAACTTCTTCAAGGGAGGACTAGCCATCTTTATCACCAACGTAGTGCAACATTAAACCACAATGGATCTGGCCAATACCCACCCAATGCAACCTGGCATAGGCAAAGTAGTGTAGATCTTACACAACACCAAGGTACTTAGAGAAACACCCTTGGATAGTGTTTGTTTGTGTGGTAGAAGTTCCCTTTTTTTTTATTGGACGTCGTTGTTTTGTAGAATTAGCACCCCCCTTGCCATCAAGTGCCCCTCCACCAACCAGAATGGCTCAATGGAGTGCTCCCCATGATCCTGGTTAGTGGTTGTCTATTGTTCATGTAAATCGTTCTCTTGCATGTTTTATTTAATCTTCCAACTGTGTGTTGTCTTTATTTATCCTGATTTGTCTTCCTAATCGTTGGCATGTGTTAGTTGAACCATTTGAAATAAACTTAAAGAAAAGCTGAACTAAAAAAAAAAAACTAAAACTAAAACTAAAAAAAAAAAATAAGCACTATTTTCTGTTACAGCTTATGGAAATGTTCCTGTAACTACCAGACAGGTAATTATATTGTCTCAAAATACAGTCATTGATAAACACCTTATGTTACAGAAAAGAGTATAAAAGAATTCTTTTGTATCTAAATTGCTAGTTTTTTAACAAGAGTATTCACAGATTTGTAATCGTTTGTTATGTGTATTTGTTATAGGGTATGCAGCAGAATAATTCCTTCACAGGTAGACCAGTGTCTTTACCCCCATACGTGGCACCTCCAGCTGTCCCACAAAACCCTCAAAACATTAACGTTGTGGACAGTAGAAGAGCTAGCGAAAGTGGGTCAGAAAGTGAACATAGCATTAGTAGCAATCGCAAGGACCGCGATTACAAGCGAAGCTCTGTTTTGAGCAATCTATTTGGCAGACGCAAGAAACCTCAATCGTAACCTAGCCGATAACAATTTTTATGCTTATCTTACACAGAACATGTGTGTAATAGGTGTATGAATTTCCATGGAACAATGGCGATGTAAAGTCCTTTCGATATAAAAAGGATACGCGTATATGCTATCTTCGCAGCAAAACACGCGAACGATTCTTGTAAATTATTTCCCTGTACCATACAAGTTTTACGTTTTACGTTATTTAATAACGTATGTTGAGTTGATCATGTAGAAAAAAGAAGACTATGTAGAAAATGGAGAAAGTACTTGCTTCTGATATTTTAGAACCTAAAAGCAATACATAGTGATGAATGCATATAAATTTCTCGTAATGAAACCCCGATATTAATCATTGTTATATAAAAATTGATTCTTCATATTGGAAGAATCTATTGTGCAACATATGGACTTTATAGTAACGAAAATTCTAAAACAAATTATTGAACTATGAAAAGACAATCGACTTACAGTTACTATGATTGTTAAATTGTTTCCGTGAATTTCTTTAGATGCACCGTGAAGCTACAAAGAGAACAATTATGGTTAGAATTTACACGCCTTACATGCGATGATAAATGAATTTATTTAAAGTGTACCTGACTTTAAGAGGAATGTTGAAATATGTATGGAAGAGGAACATGTAGTTGCGTGAATAACGTAAGGTTTAAGTTTTTGTAGATGCCACTTAATATATGTTGCAAATATTATATATTTGAAAAGGCCTGTTTGGGACCAATGATCTTCTAATGTATTAAAGTACCAGAGAGACATGTACTATGCGTTGTTGCGAAGATGACGAACGGAAGGAATGCGGGTCTTGTTGGTTATGTAGGGGACACACTCAAAATCAGATCATACGCATTTTTATTATTGGCCGAAACCGTCACATCTACTAATCCATCGCGTGACGGTGAGAATCAAAGATTGAGCGAGCGACTTACATCCCTTATCCCTGTGCCGTCCCGCTCGTGATCTTCTCAGCAATGTATAGTACACATATCATATTTTTCGATGAAAATGAAGAAAATTATTCGTTCATGAAGTTTAATGATTATACGATTTCTTTTCTTTTTTATAATGAATTAATATTATAATGTGTAAAGTGTATTTAATGCTATATAAAAAATAATTATGTATTATGTAGGCTTCAGTGCTATTGCGTAGTTACTTAGAACGACACTTTTTTTGCGTTGTGTCGACAATTGAAAGTTGAAAAAAATTAAATAAATAAAAGAGAAACTTGAAATCATAAATTTTCTTTTTTTTTAAACGTAATATTTATTTTTGTAAAATATACTACATTTTCTTTTTAAGAATATACTTAATAATTAAATACATACTACAGTGAAATTGTCATGATGCATTACTGCATTATTGCACTGAACACATATGTATGTTATTTCACAGTGTGGTTTTCACGTACATTACTACTAAATTTAATAAGTACTTTTTAAAAAATAAACTACAAACATAATAAATTCGGATATGTACAACCTTATTTATTAATACTCTAAATAGTAAGGAGTAGCAACAATTATTCCAAATAATTGTTATCGGGGCTTGAAAACATTGTCACAGGTTCCATACTTCAAATCGAATGGTAATTCGACTGGAAGAACATTAGAAATCACGCAATTTTTGATTGGAAGAGTTTAATTTGAGGGTTATAAGAAAAACCAGAGGAAGTGTTCTGCTCAGTCTGCCGTCAGGTGTTCAAAGCGGAAGAATCGAGAGTATCATCGAAAGCATCGTTAGAAATGAAGTACTACTAGGTTAGTTGATTTTTAAAATAAAAATTCTTCGAATTTTTCGCTTTCAATAATAGTTATTGTAAATTAGAGCATAATTGCATGTAATAAACAGTTTAAAATTGGTAGCTTTAATAAATTTTTAATTGCTTTAACATTACTAATAATGTAGATAGTTGGGAATGAAGTTTCTGGTTTATTTTCAAGTACTTTAATTGCAGAATAATTAATGTTTCTTGTTAAATAACTTTTTGTGTAAATTAGAAATTGAACTTTCAGACCACCACAGAAATCAAGGAAATGATTTCAATATCAGGAAAAATTGATCAAAAAATCAATTATTCATTGTAAGATAACTGTAGAAAATGTATTTTACAAAAGGTTACAACATAGTAGTATTGTTTTACAGCATTTTACAGTCTATTCATTTCATACACTTCTTTCATACACTCTTCCATACACACCACACCCATTTCCTTTTGCGAAACACTCATTCTTTAAATAATATTCCATTACAAAATTAAATAAACTAAGTCCGGATATCGTTAGGAACGCGTAATAAACGAAAAAATCCTGAAATTCGAGCGAAAAACTTCGAAAATTGCACGAAAATAGTGTCGAGAATATAAACTAAATATATGTACATATACTTATTTGGCATTACCATTTTATGTAAAAATACAATTGTAAAAATAAGTATTTATATAAAACTCTGAGTATATTACACAAGAGAATATTCATTGCGAAGATGCTTAACGAGATCAATACCGCGAATACTAAAATTACTCTGAACATATAATTCTAATACATCAAAGATGCATTTACGTTACATTAATAATATTATATACCTAAGCTTAAAGTAAAACTTAAATGCAACAATGATATAGCAACAACAAATAGTTCAACATCCACTAAAACTAAAATAAAACAAAATACCTCAGAACGTACACGTAATCACATCTCTAAATGTTTTAATAATGCAATGCATGAATAATATTGCCAAAGTAATCACATTCTTTAGAAAGTGAATAAAGATTATTTCACAGGACGAACAATCATTTAACAGCAGAGAATATTGATCCTCTTCAAACAAAGGCCAGTTTGTAAAACAATGCCAGCAACAGACTACGCACAATAGGACAGTTCACCGACAATCGTCATGGCAGTGAGCATGTTAACAGTTACACAATGGTCGGTGGTTGTAGAACAGCTGGCGCACGTCTGACTTTCAACGCTTCTGGACTCATGGCGCGCACCTGTTTCGTGATCTGGTCATAATCATACGTGACAGCCAGTCCACCTTCTGAACTCGTCTTCCTCGTGTACCCTTTATTCTGGGACGAGTTCATGTTCTTCTGTCTATCTGCTGTTCCTGTATTACTATAAAAAGCGTCTGCAGCGATGCTACCTTCCTCTTCTTCTCGACGATACCGTCTGCTCTTTAACCTCAATACCGAATACACAGCAATAGATATTAAAAGAAGAAGGAACAATAACCCTACTATAGCAGCTGCTGCAATGACTCTCATCTCCGTTGGGTCACGAATAATTAATTTTATATTAGTGGAATCTCTACCCTTCTCACTTTCTACCAATAAAGTGTATATTCTAGCATCTTCTTTTTGCAAGTCCTTGATTACTAGCTTGGCCCAGTAGCAATTGGTTAGCATCTCGTTTTCCTTGATGTGTTCCAGTGATAGTGCTTCATATTTTGGGTGAATACTCTCGCCTAAACAGAGAAACAATTAGTCATTTATGATGGTTACTTTAAAGGGTGATTATGTTTTCGGTTATGGAACAATGAACGTCATCGATGAATTTTTTTAATCCAAATAAGATATAAACGTGGAAAAATGCATTTCAAATCTTACCAGCTCTTATATGCGAGCTCCCCCATTGCCAAGCAACGAGTTTAGGTGGCGGTCTCGAACAGAAGCGAGACTTTAACGCGTGTTCCGGTTCTCCAGCCCATCCCAGAGACTCGTAGATGCCTCTTCCGCCGGAAGAAGGCCTCGCCTGGATCTCAGGCGGTCCGGTTACGTGAAGCACGTAACGAGCCTCGCTAGGCATCTCTCTTCGCACTCCGTTGATCACGTTGAACGCTATGCATCGATATTCTCCTTCGTCGGACCACATCACGTTCTCCAAACTCAGTCGTTTACCACCGTCTTTGGTCTGAAGCGAATTCTCCATGGTCTCCGTCACTCCACCTCGAAGATGCACCCACCTGTACTGTGCTGGTGGATTTGCCTCGAAATCAACGCACTCGAAGGGCTCTAAACTTGTTCCAAGCAGCGTGGTCTCTTCAAACTTTTGTGCTGTGTCGTTATTCCTAGTGTCTTCTTGTTTTAACCTGGGACCATCTGAAAATAAATCCACTTAATTTAATTTTTTCTTGTCATGTTTTCTTTTTGTTTCTAACTGTCGATATTTAATAAACAAATAATTCAGTAATAACCAACGTATCCTACTGTTGCTTCCAGAAAAAATTACAATTCCCCAGAAATAATAACGGAAATGTGTTTCTTTTCACAAAGAGTTAACATTTATTCAACAGTGATAAGCATGTGAAGGAACAAATA